AAAAAAAACAAGGTTCGAGGTTTCAAAGAATTGTACATTACAGAATAATTTAATTAAAAAGTTACAAAATAATTTTCTTTAACCCCTTCGCAGTCTAGTTGAAAATCGCTTGTGGTCCAAAAACGGTCCGAAAAAAAAGTTTACAAAAAAATATGATTTAATCATATATAAGGTTTTTGGGGTCGCTGAATTCGAATTTGAGGTTAATTTTTGAAAATTCAAAATGGCGGATCCAATATGGCGACCAAATATGGTGGATAATTTTAAAATTAAAGCGTTTTAAGGGAAATTCATTTCTCGGGGGTTTTCGAGGTCGCTGAATCCAAATCTGAAGTCAGATTTAAAAAATTCAAAATGGCGGACCCAAAATGTCGACTTCAAAAAAAAATTTTTTTTCAGATTCCCTTAAAACTCGTTACTCGGGGGTTTTCGGGGTCTCTAATTACAAATATGATGTCAGATTTTCAAAATTCAAAATGGCGGATCCAATATGGCGGATGATTTCAAGATTGATGCGAAAAAAATATGAAGTTACCTCAAAAACCCCTGAGTAAACATTTTAGACAAATTTGTCAACATTCAAAAAATTTGATCGACATATTGAATCCAAAATTTAGCATTTAGAAAAACGAACATCAAATTCGAATTCAGCGACCCCAAAAAACCCCGGGAACGGAATTTCGATCAAAACGCATAAATTTTGAAATTATCCGCCATATTGGATCCAACATTTTGAATTTTGTAAAACGAACATCAAATTCAAATTCAGCGACCCCAAAAACCCCCGAGAAACGAATTTTAATCGAATCGCATCAATCTTGAAATTATCCGCCATATTGGATCCGCCATTTTGAATTTTAAAAATCTGACATCATATTTGTAATCAGAGACCCCGAAAACCCCCCAAGTAACGAGTTTAAAGCGAATTTGAAATTTTTTTATTTTTCGAAGTCAACATTTTGGGTCCGCCATTTTGAATTTTTTAAATCTGACTTCAGATTCGGATTCAGCGACCCCAAAAACAGTAGTATGTACTTCGCTACTAAAATCAAATCATGTTTAGTATTTTTTTTTTGAGATGGCCATATATGGCCACAGACGCAAAGGTGGCACGACTTTTCGTGGCCATATATGGGCCATGGACTGTTAAGGGGTTAAATAGAATCACAAAATTTATTTCTTTAAATGTGGAGTTACATAATTAATAATAATTGTTTTGCTAATTTGGTAGAGAACTTAAAATTATTGAAATTTTTTTTTTTTGAAAAGAAATTCGTGAGCAAATAAAGTTTGCGAATTATTTTTTTTTGTGATAATAATTTATAATAAAATTCGTTTATCGCTGAATTTTAGGCGAATAATAATTGAGTAAGACGCTTAATTGCAGGCATCATTATAATGTTTATGTATAATATATATGTTTATGTATATTATAATGTTATCTAAAAGTTACATTTACACGATTTGTTAAAAATCCTCGAAATTCGGGATTTGAACAAGTCACAAGAGAATACTTAGGTATCTCTAAGTTTTTTTTATTCCTAAAATTTGGCACGTAATTCACGTAACACAATTGTTAATTGTGTTTTTTTTTCTTAATGTATATAATTAAAATAGACTTAAACTTCAATTTTCACTAAATATCATTTTTTATTGTTTCTCAAAAAAAAAAAAATTTTTTCTCTAGTAGAGATTCTACAAGTATTTATTTTATTCGAATAAATTATTATTTAACTAAATTTTACTTTAGTTTACCAATTTTGCAAATAATTATATTCATACAAAATAATATTTGGTTTAAATCAAATTTTTTCTGGTTGTAGTGTGGTTTTTCTTCTTTTTTTAAATTTGAAAATATTGAATTAGTTTTAAAAATTAATTTATATAATACATAATTATAAAAAACAATTTCAATTTGTGAAAACTGAAGTTTTTTAAAAGTAGTTTATCCTAATATGTAGATTACATAAGATACTTAAAAAATAATTTACATGTAGTTTTATTTTTACATTTTTTTATTATATAATTAATTAATTAATTAGGTACTTTAAAGCAAAGAAAAGTGTTTGTCACTTTTTTGAATTTTGGAAGACCCTTGTCAATTATAAGTACCGAAAGTATTTTAATAAACTTTTTCGAAATTAAATTCAATAATTTAAAAATTAATTATACTTTATATAATAATAATTAATAACAATTGATAATAATTAATAATAATAATAATAATAATAATAATAATAATAATAATAATAATAATAATAATAATAATAATAATAATAATAATAATATTAATAATAATAATAATAATAATAATAATAATAATAATAATAATATTAATAATAATAATAATAATATTAATAGTAATAATAATAAACAATAATAATATAAATCAGTAACGATTTTAAATTAATTTCGTTTAGTCGAGAGACACTTTAAATTAATTAAATATACAAATTTTTATTTATGAAAGAATGTAAATTTTTGAGCCAATTTTTCATAAACATTTTTCTTCGCTGTTCTTTAAATATTTTGTATAATACAATTATTTAATGATTTTGAACACATTCAAATGAGAATATTTTTCACTTTGACAGTAGGAAATTAAAAATAATAATTTTCATAAGTTTTGTATAAATAAATAATAAATCGTACCTTATATTTATAATTTTAAAAAATTTTATCATCAAAATTTTTTAGTAATTATTATTGTAAATAAATCCGTAATAATTACTAAAACAAAGTTAACAAATTTCTTAAGAAACTCGATTAATTAATCGAAAAAATTTTAAAAAAATTCTCAATTAATATTTTTATTAGTTTTCCTACTGTCACTACTGATTTTCTCGTTTTTTATTATACATATTGCATCACTTTTCGAAAAATTTTTTCACATAGAGTATAATTATTCTAATATTATTATATTATTTTAAATACTAGTACTTTGTAATATCTATTTTTCTTTAAATACTACATTATTTAATTTGGCAAGAGATTTTTGGCATGCTGCTTTTTTTTGTTAATCAGTTACACAACTATCAAATTCTTATAAACTAATTTTTTTTTTCTAAAAATCGTTAATTAAAAAACGATTTTTCACTTAAAATTATTGTAATACTGATACAGGTTGTAGATGTACACTTGTTTTTTTTTAATTAACTTTTTACAAAAGTACAGAAAAAGTTGGAGGTAGAAAGACTCGTACAAATTTTTTTTTTCATTGATTTTGATGGAAAGATTATATAAAAATTACAAGAAACTATATAAATAAGAAAATTTACAAAAATTGGGCCCTTTTTTGTGTGTGCTGCTTAATTATTTATATGATGACGAATATTTATGAAAATTTTTTGTAGTTAATGAAGAAAAAAAATTAAGTCTATTTTTTTAGTGTTTCGAAGATTAATTAAATGAATTTGAAATTTTTTTCGAAAAATTAACTGGAAATTTTTAATGAGAAAGATATGCTTTGTGACTTTTTTAGAAATTGATTCAAAGAAAAATTTAGTCTCAAGTTTTCTTAAAAGTACGAGAAAAGATATTTTTCTACCTGTCAATTACTGTATTGAGCAAAGGGAAGATGCGATAAATTCTCTAATTATTAAAATTGCACATGTACAATTGTTTCTTTTTTTTAATCTAAAGCCTCTTGTGTCCAGAAAAATTGATTTTACAAAATTTGTAATTTTTAAAACACAAAAACTATACTTTATTTTTCGTACGTTTTTAAAAAGTAAATATTTTTATTTTTATTATTTGCGTTAAATTAATTTAATAAAATTAATTCAATATGGAATTAATTAAATGAAATTAATTAAATCAAACGAAATAAAAAAAAAAAATTAATCATATAAAATTAATTAATCGAATTTAATCATATAAAATTAATTACACGAATTTAATTAAATAAAATTAATTTAATTAATTAATTTAATTCTGGACATAAAGGATTAAATATTAAAAATATTTATATAAATATACACTTAACAATCAAATTTATTAAATATCGTAATTTTTTTTTAAACATTTCCTTAACATATTAAGTTTACGTTCTTAATTAATTAATTGATTTTTCCTAAATTACTAATATTAATGAACAATCAGTGTAAAAATATCGTATATTTCCAGATTATCGTGCATTTTGCACTCAATATTGGACGTTTTTATTTGAAGCAACGTTGAAATATTTTCTCTTGATAAGAAAAAAAATCAAACGAAACCTTTTGTTGATGCCCATGCAGTATAAAATTTTTCCAAGTGAAATACATTTTTGTTTCAAAATTAAAAATTTCGAAATGTTAATAAAAATTGAAATTTTATTTTCCTCTTTGTTGCATATATATAAAAATTGTACATTATTCCAAAAAGTGTCTAAAAAAAAATTTAGACATTTTGTTGATTAATTCGATATTTTAATCGTTGAAAAACTGTTGTTGAACATTGTAGAAAATTTTGTGTATTAATGAACAAATGATCTTCAGTTTCGTTTGATTTTTTTTCTTAATTAACGTTGACAAAAAAATGTTCGCTTATAATCAATTTTTTTTCGTTTAGTATGTGCAATTTATTTTCCTTCTTTTTTTTTTTTTATTAATAATAAGCGATATATCTTTGCTGAAAATTTACAGTTCCAAAATAATTTTCTCATTTTTTTTCTTGGTAATATATTTTCTTTTTTTAATTTTGTAATCGCTTTTTTTTAATAAATAAGTGCGATTCAATAAATAAAACTGCAAGAGTTGCAGATGAAAAAAACGATACTTACACAATGGAGGGATATTTTTTTTTTGAGCTGTTTATAACAGATCATTAGGATGGAAAATTTCGAAATCAGAAATTGTATTTTTCAAATACTAGGAATTTTTCGTCATATCTAAGATTTACCGTATGGGCAATGTATTTACAATTTTATTATTATATTTATAATAAATAAAATAATATTCTAATTGAATAATCTTGGTATTAATAATATTAATACCGTTAGAAATTAATTGATGTTTTATTTTAAGAGATGTAAAATTAATATTTACATTTATCTTTGAAGGATTTTTTTATGACTTATAAATTTTTAATGCAATATGGATATTTGTTTTAATCTCAATTTTCTATGAGTGGTAATTTTTCTGTCATAGAATATTGAGAGTAGTAATGTTGCTAGTTTATTTGCTGTTGATGTTACTTTTCGAGTCGAGTTCCTTTTATTACGATTTTTAGAACAAAAAATGAAAGAAGAATACTTAAGGTCATGGAGAGAAGGTTTCGTAAATAACTTCTCATTTTTTTTACAATTTTCAGAAATAGTTACAAAATTGCGAACAAGAGATTCAATATGGAAGCGCTATTCTCCACCTGCGAACGCCAAGGTCACCGCCAGATGGCAGTTGAGTCCTTTCTTGGAATTTCTCCTGCCACCTGGTGGCGACCTTGGCGTTCTCAAGTGGAGAAATTAAACCTTTCCTTCAGAAACTATTTTTTAAAAATGTCGAGAGTATGTTTATTTCTCTTTCAGTAAAAACTTTAAAGTACTTTTTATCAACTATATTTTCATAGTTAATAGTCAAAATTTACCCCAAAAAAAAATTGAATATTTCAACTTGAAACCACTAGTTCAGGAGGACTTTTCCCCACATGGTCTTAATGTTTTTTTTCGATGATTAACAAAAAAAATACTCACGCTTAAAATCTGCTAACAGCTTCGTCGTCAGCCAAAAAATAATTGCACGTTTGAACAGTTGGTGTATGCATTCCGCAAGTGGGACTTGTTACTGTTCCAAAACTCGAAATGTGAATATTCTTATCGTCAATTATTGACGAATGTCGAGCAATTATTGAATGAGGCCTTTTGTCTCTTCTGAGTGTCATACGACCATCTTCGGGACGAAGAGGCATTGACGGATAAGTTGGTTGTCTGGCGAGTGTCGTTAATATTCGATCGCCAGTTTCATTGAAACTATGATGCCTGACAATGCCTCTTTTGATTCTGCAATGTTCGTTTCCTCCATGACCACCCATAGCAGTTCCATGTGTTTTGCATGCCTCAACTCCTGGCACTGGTGACAATGAACTTGGACCAAAGGAGCCATTACTTTGCCTTCTGTCGAGTATATGAACCAGTTCCACAGACGGTGTTGGTGAAAATGTCCCCTGGAATATGTAAATATTGATTTAATTTTAACAATCATTTGGACCCAATTTAAATTCTAATTAGAGTAATGATTAGAGTACCTGTAATGATGGTCGTCTAAGTGTTCCAGTTTCCATTCCAATTAGTTTAACACCCTTGACATTTTTCTTGAGAATTCCGGTTCCATCGTGAAGATTTAAATTTAGCTCCATATTGCTGCGATCAGCAATTTTATCATTCTCCCCACGTAATTTATCTGATTTTGCATAGGGAGTGGAATTATTCAGCATCGTTGCATCAACATGCTTAATGGAATTTGGCAAACAATTGTTCATCTCCTTAATGGGTAACACAGGTTGACCCAATGAATTGGTCAGGTTTCTCACTCCAAGAATTTGGCCAGTGTGGTTGATAACTGGAGGATGGGGAATTGGATTCAATCGATTCGGTGACCTCACGGATTCTTGTAAGTTCTGCAAATTTCTCAAACTCTGATTTGCTATTTGAATGTTCTCCTCGGTGCAGCTCTTTGTAATTTGATAGAATTCATTTGAGGCGTCGTAACGATTCAATTGACTGTTCATTGTCATGCTGGTGCTCATTCTGTCGCCGTCCAATGTACTTGGTCCACTTGATGATTCCTTTTTGAAATTTGGAAAAATTAAATTTATTTCTGAATTCTAATATCGATACTATGATTAGATTATCTAGTACTATATAGGAATGGTAAAATTAGAATTTAATGTAGGAACTTACATTTAATGTCGAGTCGATAAGTGCAGCTCCCGAATTACTTAGAACAACTCCGGTCTGATTCTTTGATTTTCCTGATGAATAGTCGTCTTTCAAGAATAATTTTGTTATGAAACTTACAACAAGTTGCATTAAAAGTCCACTAATCATTGCTGTGGTTCGATATGGAAATCGTTGTGTATTCGTATTGCGATCGAAGAATGGATATTCGATGAAAACTGGTATTCCTACTGATTTCTCCCCAGCTGCTAAACGGCACAAAATACTGGTAGCAAATCCAGCGAAATACCCACAAGTGTTAACCAAAGAAGGCCAGTAAATCACTGAGAGAAGTTGTGGGAACAGTACAACGTATGCGAATTCAGAGCATAGAAAACTGGAAAAGCAAAGTTTGTTTAATGATGTTTATCTAGAATGGTATCTTTTCGGAAAAAGGAAACTTACGACATTTGATAAATACTGCCAAATGTGATGGCAACTCCGGTCGAAAGAGAAGTAACGGCAATCACAGCGAATCTTAAGATCCACTTCAATTCCCTTTCCGATGCCTGAAAGGAAATAAAAGAAAATTTATTTGATTACTTACATCTTAGGATTTAAATTTTTAGGATTTAGACGAACCTTTGGTCTCAGTGCGAATCTATAAATGTTTCTGGCAAACATTGAACTACTGGAAAGAATACTAGAATCTGCTGATGACATTGCTGCGGCTGCCATTGAACCCAAACCTAGGAGACAATTTTTTGTTCATGCGGATTAAAATCCGAATACTTTTCGAAATCGCATTTTAATTGTCAAAATAGTTCTTTAAATACTTTTTAAAATACTTTTGCAAATTTCGAATAGTTGAAAAATTTATTACTTTTGGTTTTGTAGATATTCAGAAAAAAGAGAATTTTCAATAGGAAGCTTACCAATAAAAGACACCCATTGGGGAGTTAAAAGCCTTAATATCAGAGGCAATATTGCGTTTCCATTATCTGTCGATATAGTTCTATTGTAGCCCTCGACTAAATACCAATCTGTAGCACGAGCTACAACGCCCATCAATGCTGCAGGAACGGCTAAAGCCATGCAACCGATCATCGAAGTGATCGAAAGTGTCCTTCCCATTGAACTACTTTTCATACTTAGAACTCGTCGGAAATAACCCTATTCAAAAGAAAATTACCCTCCTTTTGTTGTTGAATTACATAATACACCAATTTTTCCAAAAATATCTCTCTCTCTCAACAATTTGTTTCTCTATTTAATATTTCTGTACGGTTGATTCTATTGAAAGTGTCCTTTTGGATGTCCCAATTTTATAAAATCTATATTGTTTTAGAAACAATGGTTTTTAAATTTTAAACATGGAATCATATTATTGATAGTAGAGAGAGACCTTTAAAATTTGTCTGTATTCATAATAATTTCTTTTACAGGCTATTTTTCGGTAAAATATCTACTTTCTCAAATCTAAAAATTACAATACCTGCCAAGGAATGCCGCCGAAAATTAATAAAAGTGCTCCATCAGCCCAAAGGCCAAGATCCTCATTTTTTATTTCACCAATCCAATCTTGTCGTGCCAAATTTTTTTCAAGCGCCACTGCCGGATGGAAAATAATGTAAGGCGCAGATATTCCCAGACCGAGCATAATGCAAATTAATTGTAATGCATCAGTCCCAGCTAAATAGTACATTCCACCAAATAGTGAATATCTTGAATTCAAAAACAAATTTTTCATTATTAATCAAATTAATTTGTAATCTATTTATTCAATTTATTAACGGGAAAGTTTTAGTAATTGCAAACTCACATTGCTGCCAAGAGGGCGGATACACAAACACTAAGATATGTGTCTAGTCCTGTAATTACTGAGAGATAACTTCCCAAAGCTCGCAATACAGCTCCACACCAAAACAAATCGCCACAAAGTGCGGGTATAAACAATAAGCCACCAATTTTGGCACCGTATCGTTGCTGCAGTGGATCGAGCATCGTTATGTATTCCGCTTTTCTCATTGGTTTCACAAATAGTATTGCACCTGTTTTGGAAAATTAAATTATTGTTCTTGTTTGAAAAAGAATTGTGAGAAGAAAATGCCAGGGTATTCAATAGCAGATCTTTTAGTGTCCCCCTAGGAATTTGATTTCTGATTTTATTTTGATTCTTGACTATAAACGGTGGATAACAATCAGTTTTTCTTTTCTGGACCCCAAAAAAATCCCAAAAGTAAAGTGACATTAGAAACCCCTTCGTCAAAAATCCTACTATCTTTCTTCGTCTACATATGAAAGAGACAAAAATATCTTTTCGTCTTCATAGGAACAATTAAATTTGTTTTATTTTCGGAAATAAAAAAGCAAACCAAAAGAAAGCAAATTACTTTAGTCGAAGAGAAAGAAAATCTTTTGGAAAATTTCTAGTGTCTCAATTAACAATCTCATAATGTACCGCACAAGCTTCTTAAGTATTTTCCTCATTGCTGGAATTTAAAAGTAAAGAGGGATAAACATTTACATTTTCTCTCTTTTGGTATAAAAAAAAATTCAAGAAAAGAGGTAAAATCATAGGTTCTTGGATTCTTTTCAGAAACTCATAACTTTTTCTTCTTCTTTTTTTTTTCTTGTTATCAAGATATGCTATCAAGATACATCCTGTGTAGGTTTACTCGTACCAAAAAGCAGACTGAGACTGTAGCAAATGGGAACCTGGCACCATGCCAGACCTCTTGCGAACATCATCTCGGCAGTTCCATTCACGAAGGCGCCACCGACCCATGTCGCTGTAAAAAGAAAATTAAACAATATTACAAAGTATTAAAAAAAAGAAAACTATTTTACCATCGCATCGCCTTTAATGGCTTCATTTGGCTGATAGTTGTAAGGCTTATACTGAAAATTGACGTGTTCTTTTATTATCTACGAATTGCAATTTAGTTTTGCTAATAATTTTTTCATGTATTTTTGTTTGTCATAATTGGATGCTAAGGATACAATTCTGTTCACCTCCAACTAAAAATATTCCCCTAAATTTCCCCACCTTTTGCTCTATTTCTTTTTATATCCGCTTCTTGAGTTACTTTCTTTTATTATTCTTCTACTTTTTGGAGTTTACACCTCTTATTTCCAGAACAGAATTTTCATCTACAGAATCTACAGAATTTTCATCTTCGTCTTCTTATTTTTCGTCTTGCAAATTATTCTCGTTTCCTTTTTCGACAACGTAAAAACAAAGGGACATCAATTTTTTTGAACTTGAAAAATTAAATCTACTTTAAATTTTTAATCTAAAATATAGTAGACTAAAAAAAGTAGATTTCACTTTTCAAGTTGTAACTTGTTTGTTGTAAAAAGATACAGAAATGTTCAAAAGGAAAATTCAATTCATAATTTTGTGTCATATTTTTTATGTTGTGTCATCATCTCAGAGTATATTGTATATTTATTTCTTTCTCATCTTGAAAAACAGAAGAATGGTATAGTTCCTCCTTTTTTTTATTTGTTCTTTATGTCTCGTTTTCTCGATATTACCATTTTGTGCACCGCTTCATTTTATTTCTTCCTTTTTTCTTTCTCAGTTGTATCTTTGTGTATTAGTATTTGCTGTCTTCTGTGAAAAAAAAACTATTTCCGTTTGTGTAGTTTCGTTCTTTTTTTCCTGCATTTTCCGTACACGATGTATTCATATATATTCTACGAGAGTTAAACTATTTTTTGTATTGTAGAATTTAAAAAAAAACAGTTTGTATTTTAATTCTATAAAAATTTGAAATTAAAAGAAATGTTCAGTTTTTAAAAAAATTAGAATTGTCAGTCATGTGTAGAATAGATGAAGATTTATTATAACAAATTTTTCGAATTAGTAAAAAATTAGTAAATATTTCCAGTGCGTCTATTTCTATGCGTTGTAAAACTTGCGTAATATAAATTTTTAAAAAAGAAATCTCTTTTCCTTTAATCTTGATAAAATATTCTCTGTTACTTGCGATATTTTACGAGAATTGTAGATTCATTTATGTATTTATGTATGCATACTCATGCATAATGGGAATGTACACGGTATTTCCATGATAACTTTTCTTTGCAGACTATCTTTCAATGTGACAGCATCTTCTTGAGGAAGATTTGTATCATTATTGCCACTCATAGTGCAACAACACTTATAATTCACATTTCTTAGGACATAAAAGAAATTTGTAATTTACACAATCGAATTTTATTTTAATACCGAAATTAATTTTAATTAATTCAAATTAATAGATAATATTAATTAATTACAATGGTTATAATAATTAATACTATTAAATTAATTATAATAGTTATATAATTAATTTAATAGCTAATTATATAATTAATGAACTAATAATTAATAATATTGATAATTGAATTAATATTAATTTAAAGGGTACTTTGCAAAATTTAATTTCAACTTTTTACAACTATACTATTTTTTTTCTTGAACTATAATATTTTTTTCTTTTCTTTCTTTAATATATAATACCGGAAGTGTGAATGAAACTCTTTCTTTTTACCTTTAGAAAAGAAAAGCGTCTTTGCATAGAATTTTTCCATTTATACTCAACTTTAATATGCGCCCAAGAATGAGAGTGGTGTTTATAGAAAGTTAAACGTGCACATATTTATGAATTTTATTAACAAAAATTGATTCCATAAATAATTTTGCTAATAATTTATTTCGAAATTAATATTCCATCAAAGTAGATTTGAAATTAAAAATAATAACTTGAATTATATTTCTGAAATTAATACTATATTTATAATACATTGCTATTAATATAATTATTGTTACTTTTACGGACCAAAAATGAAAAATTACGGACCAATTATTACTGACAAAAATATAACCAGCCTGAGTCAAATAAGAGAATATTTTACTTAAAATTATAAATTAAATTTTTTCCTAACTGTAAAACATAAAGAAATCGATCACTCCGAGTCTTCGACTCGAAGTCATCGATATCTTCATGTTTTATAATAATTAAAGATGGTAAATTGATAAAATCATTATTTTAAATTATAAGAATATTGTACTTCTTCGAAATTATTTTCATTATTTTATTTCAATTATTATTTTTAAGAATTTTTCACTAAATTTTTTCTTTAAATCAATTAATTTTCAAAAAAGTTCTTCGACAATTTTTAAAATCCATTTAATCACAATATACAATTTTACTAATTTCAATTATTCGTAAATTCTACAATTAAACATTTATTAAATAAATAAAAACTTCAAATAATAAAAAAAAATTCAATTATACTTTTTCAAAAACATTAATTTCAAAATTCAATTATTTCTAAAAATTCACGCTATATTCAATTATTATCTAAAATTTTAATTAAAATTTATTTTTCTATTAATTTTTATTAGAAATCTCTACTGAAATTCAATTATTTAAAATACAAAATAATAATTTATTGAATATTTGAATGTTTCTTAAAATTCAATTCTCATAAAAAATTTTATCAAGATATTTTTAAATAATTGAATTTCTAAGAAGAATTTTACTATTTTTGAATATAATTAAATTTCTGCGAAGGATTTTATTAATTTTGAAAAAAATTTAGTTTCTGCCATAATTTGTAACTTGTTCAAAATTAAATTTTTTTAGTGTTAACAAAAATTTTTTTATAAATCCATTATTTTTAATAATTTTTTAAATAGTTTTTCGAGCATTTTCAAATTCATTTGTTTTTAACCGAAATTCATTTTTAAATCAATTTTTATGAGAAAATTCTACTAGAATTCAATTATTTAAATACAAAAACAATTTATTGAATATTTGAATGTTTCTTAAAATTGAATTCTTATAAAGAATTTTGTCAATAAATTTTTAAATAATTGAATTCGTTTGACGAATTTTCAAAAAAAAATTTTAATAATGATTACATTTATTGAGGAATTCGATTAAAATTTTATTTTAAATAATTGAAACTCTGCGATGAGTTTTACTATATTTATGAAAATAATTGAATTCCTAAAAAAAATTTATTATTTAGAAAATTAATTAAATCTCTGTAAAAATGTTATTATTTTGAAAAATAATTGAATTATATTGCGAAGAAATTTATAAAAAAATTTGTAAATAATTGAATTTTAGTGAAATTTATATTATTATATGAAAATAATTAAATGTTTGGGTAGGATTTTATTAAAATTTTTGTAAATAATTAAATTTTTTTGAAAATTTTATTAAAATAATAAATATATTGAAGATCATTGAATTGATGGAAATTTTTAAAAATAATTGAAATTTTGCCAAGAATTTTATTAAAATTTTTGAAAATAATTCAATTTCGGAGAAGAATTTAATTATTTCTAAATATAATGGAAATGTTGACGAGAATTTCAAAAATTTTTGGAACATAATTGAATTTTTGCTAAGAATTTTATTACTTTTTGAAAATAATTGAATTTTGCCTAGAAGTTTATTAAAAAATTTGGAAAATAATTGCATTTTGGAACAGAATTTTATTATTTCTAAATATAATCATTTATTTAATAAATTTACTGATTTTTCAGTTAAATAGTATATATAAATTATCTTCTTTATTATAATTAGGAAAAAGAAAATTGTAAAAGCACTTTTTTGTAATTTTTTTTTTTTTTTTTTAATGCTAAAATACTCACCGATAAGAGAAAATACTCCACAAAAAATTCCAAGATCTCTATTCCCCAGGAGCATTTGATCTTGTCCTTGTTGGATTTTTTTTCTCTTTAATACCGCCTCCCATATTCCAACCCCAAGGATTCCAGAATAGAAAGTCGCGAATCCTGCTACACCTGGTATGTAGAGCCCCATTATGGATTTCTAAAGAAAGAAAAGAGGAGTTTTATTTCAATATACATTATTTCTTAATAATATTCATTAGGTACTTCCTTAACTCATTAGCTTTCATCTTTTAATAAATGTACCATTTTCTCATCACAAAAAAAAATCTATTTTGTGCAAATTATTTCAAAATTAATTTTTGAAGAATGTCTAAAATAAAATTAATAAAGCAATATTAATAAAAATAATAAGAATAGGACAAAACAAAGTAGTAATAGTGATAAAATAAAATTTATATTTATAGAATTGAATAGTTCATTTTCGTGTCGTAAAAATTTTAATGTTTAAAAAGAATTAAAATTGCGTTTGTTTGTACCTAACTTTATTTTCATTGTTAAAAATAAGAGAAGATTTAAAATTATTTTCTATTATTTTTCTAAATTGAATAAAAAGTGTGAAAAACATTAAATGAAAGAGGAGACAATTCGCATTTATTTTATATTATTTATAATGCGAAACCTTTCGTCGAGGCGCAAAGCTCGGCGCAAAGTTGGAGGCATAAATTAAACAGTTTTTGATGAACGAAAATGATGAATGTTTGTGTATATATCTATATGTATAGAGAGAGAGTGAAAAACTTGTGATGAGGGTAACTGAGGAAAATTCACGTGGGATGGTAGATATATGTATATATATATAGCAAAAAGCTTTTCTCAGTTCAGAATCTCGGAAATTACGAGAGAGCAGACCTACAAGTGCCAAAGTTGAAGTTGAAGTGGGTAAAGTCTGGACCAGGTGCAGTCTTACTGATGATTATATGCCCAGAATTTTTTTTTTAAACATTAAAATTTTTACGACACGAAAATGAACTATTCAATCTTATAAGTTTATCAAAGTTTATCAACATCCGTATCTAGGCATTCTCATTACTCTACAAATTAATTAATACGGTCAAAAGAAAAACAAAAAAAAATCACAAGTTTATTAACATCTATTACGTGTAATACAATACATTAGAAAAACAATAGTTTAAAAATTAGGAGAACTTAATTATTAATATTTGAATTGTATTGATTTATCCTTCGGTGGTAGTCATTAAATAATTTAATTTACCAATTTCTAATTACCTCACTATTATTACCATATTTAATATTATTATATTTATATTATCATTACTGCCAATAGTGCAACAACAAATTTCTTACGACAAAAAGTATTTGTAATTTATACAATCGAATTTTATTTTAAATCACTCTTGTGATTTGAATACAGTCCTAACTCTAAAATTTTCTCATAAGAACTTTTTTGCAAAGTGCTGCTAATTTATTATTTATAAAAATACAGATTTTTTTTAACGCATTTTCTTTAATTTAAATCGAATGTTAAAGTTTTTATGTTAGTTACACTTTATCAAGTTTTTTTTAGTGCGAAGAGCATAAAAAATTCTATACGAAACTTTTTTTTTTAATCAATTGATGAAATCTCTTGAAATGGAATTTTAAAGTTTGTTTCCTTTAATTATCGATGTTTTGACTTAATTATGTGACGTGAAATGAAATTTTTTAAATTCATGGTATATTTAATTTTGTTTTTTAAAAAAAAGGATTGCGAAGTAAATTGAAATTTTTTGTTGTGAAAATAAATTATTATTTATAAAAGAATTCCGATTTAGGTCAAATAATGAAGAGAGAGATATTTTATTTATATTTGAAAATAATTAAAATTAGGGCATTAATTAATTATTCCTGGGATTTAATGGTACAGTGTGTATATGTGAAAGATAAATTTATGAAATTTTATTTTTAATTTCTTTGTTAAAAAGTAATAACAGATATTTAATATTTTATTTGTGCGTCTACTTTTTCGTTTTTTAATTTTTAATTTTAATTATCAAATTTAACTATGAAGCATTTTTTCTATTCTTCGGAATTTTATAAAAAATTCTTTGAAATTTTATAATTTGATTTTTTTTTTTTCTCATCGCTAATGCTAAGAAAGTAAAAGTAGATTTTTAAAAGTAGATTTTCCTTTTATGGGCTTTTGCTTTTGATGTGCTTCCATTATATTCGATCAATATCAGTTCAATATTGACTGAATTACATGTTATGTACTGCATTATTCCGCCTCTTTTTTTTTTTGAGAGAGAGCGATTTTCAGCTTGTTATATCTCAATGATGAAAATGATTTAATTGATCTCTTCTGATTTGCCTCCTTTCTTTGTTTATTTTATTTTGTGTATCAAACGAGCATATATAGGAAGTAATTCTAAATATCATTAGGAAAATGTCAATATTGTCCAGTTATGAAGCATTTTGCAAACATTGATATGTAAATACTCTTCTCAGGAACACCAATAAAATTATTTATCCTTTAATATCCGTCTATGAATATTCATCATTCGAGCGGATATTTTTAAAGGGGGAAAATTTCATTTTCAATATTATATTAAGAAAATTTTCTTTGATCAATTTTCGAAAACCAAAAGCATTTTACTATTTTCTATTTAATTATTTTTGTTGTTGTCATATTTTGAAGTGAAATTCAAATTTAATCGAACTGAAACGAAAACTAAGGTAAATGTAACTCTAATGTGTAAATAATTAAATTATACTTAATTAATGAATAAAAATAAAAATATAAGTTTCCATTTTTTAAATATTCAGGGCTCGAACTAGGTCCGTAAATCTCGTAAAAGTCCGTAACTTTGCTTGAAGTCCGTAAAAGTTCGTTTTTTTTAAAAAAAGGTCCGTAAAGTCCGTAAAAATTGTACGATATAATATGGATAATTCTAGAGAAATTTTTAATAGGTATTTACTATTCTAATAAATTTTTCCAAAAGAATATAATTAGATATTTTTAAAAAAATTAATAAAATTCTACATAACACTTTAATTATTTTAAAAAAAATAAAAACTTCACAGGAATTTCATTATTTTATACAAAATTTTTTTATAAATTTCTTCGCAATCATTCAATTATTTTCATAAATAATAAAAATTTTACAGGGATTCAATTATTTTTGGTAAATAATAAAAAATTCTTATTAGGAATTCAATTATTTTGATAAATAACAAAACTCTTTGCAGAATTTAAAATTTTAAATAATTGAATTCTAGTAGAATTTTCTCATAAAAATTGATTTAAAAATGGATTTCAGTTAAAATTTTAGATTATAATTGAATATTAAAAGCACTGGGAGCGTAAATTTTTAGAAATAATTGAATTTTGAAAAGGTTTCAGATTAAAATCTTTGAAAATTTGAATTTTTCATATTATTAACTAACTATTCTGTGGAATTAATTATTTTTAGAAAGTTTAATTATTGCAGATTTTTTTTATATTATTTGAAGTTTTAATTTCAATTCTATTAAAATTAGATTCAATGATTAAAATTTTAATGCAATTCTTCGAAAGAATTCAACTATCTTAATAAATATTAAAATTCTTTCCAAAAATTCAATTATTTTCAAAAATTAAGAAAAAATTCTCTACAACATTTCAATTATCTTTATAAATAGAAAAATTCTTTGCCGAAATTTAATTATATTTAGAAATTTTTTAAAAATTCATTGTAAAATTCAATTATTTTTATAAATAATTTATCGCACAAGAATAATAATTCAATTATTTTCATAATTAATAAAATTCTTCTCGAAAGTTCAATTATTTTCAAAAAATCTAAAAAAAAATTTTCAACATTTCAATTATCTTTATAAATGAATAGCAAAATTCTTCAACAAAATTCAATTATTTTCAAAAATTAAAAATAAAAATTCTCGATAACATTTCAATTATCCTTATGATTGTAGAAAAATTCTTCCTCAAAATTCAATTATATATTTCGAAATTTTTATAAAATTCATTGTAATATTCAGTTATTTTCATAAATAACAATATTCACTGCACAAAAATTTAATTATTTTGAAAATTAATAAAATTTCTTCGCAGAAATTCAATTATTTTAAAAAAAATCTAAAAAAAAAGAAATTGTCAATATTTCAATTATTTTTATAAATGAATAGCAAAATTCTTCGACAAAATTTAATTATTTTCAGGAATTTTAATAAAATTCATTTCGAAATTCAATTATTTTCATAAATATCAATAATCATCAAAAGAATTCAATTACTTTCTGAAGAAATAAAATTCAATTATTTTCAATATTTCAATTATTTTCAATATTTCAATTATTTTCAAAAATTCTTCTTAATTCAATGATTTTCAATATTCTTCTATTTGAATAAAATTTTTCCAAAGAATTAAATTATTAAACAAAAGTTTTAATAATATTCTACACGAACATTCAATTATTCTCCAAAAAAATAAAAATTTCACTGGAATTTAATTATTTAAAAGTGAATTTGCATACATTTTTTGGAAAAAAATCAATTGTTTAGAACTTTTTTTTATAAAATTCTTCGCTATATAATTAAATTATTTTTATAAATAATAAATCTCATTGTGAAATTTCAATTATTTTTAATACAATTTTAATCGAATTCCTCTAAAGATGAAATTATTCTTAAAAATTGTATTAAAATTTGTCGAAAGAATTCAATTATTTTAATATTTGTTGATAAAATTATGTATAATTGAATTATCGTAGAATTTTCTAATAAAAATTGGTGTAAAAATTAATTTCAGTTCAAGAATATTCGAATAATTGAAATTTCGCGTTAATTTGAATTGTAAACAAATGGATTGTAATTTTTCATTTTTGGTCCATAAAGTCCGTATTTTGAAATACTTTCACTGGTTCGAGCCCTGAATATTTAAATTCGAAAAAGGAATATTGAAAACTTTGCAAAAATTGGTTCATGAGTAAATATTGCATTTTTTCCATTTGGATTCTAATTTTTTTTTCTGACTATAAAATCAAAAAGAAAAGGATTTATGTTCTTTTCCATATCAATATACATTGGAAGTAGGGAGAGAAAAAAAATTATTGTAAAAGCAAATCTGGGGATTTAAAAAAAATTTATCTGCATAAAAATTCTATATATAAAAAGATTTTTCTTTTTTTTTATATATGCTCAATG